ATGCCACTGAAGGCTGGCGGTTTTGCATTTTTTTTGCCATTCTAGATGATTTGATTATCTAAGTGCATGTTTTTTTTGTCTTTGCTCTATGGCATGCTGCCATTGTAGCTCTAATTTAGTTTTTCTTTTGTGTGTGTTCATGTGTATGTAGACCTCTTATTCACATCCTTGGTGATTGATTTCCATTGCAAGTTAAGTCAGATATCCTATCAATCCTGACAATCATCATCATGAAAGGTGGAATTGCACTTAAGCCCTTCTCTATCTCCAAGCTCAAGCAGCTTGAGGACCTGTAAGATCTAGCTCTCTCTATTCCTATTTCCTGACTGCCTTTTACCAAGAGCTGTCTTTTGAGATATGGTCACTTTTGCACCCAGGCCATCTTTATCTTAGTGTGTAAATTGCATTAGTGGCAATTAGAAGTTACACTATGTGAAATGTATAATTTTTATATTTGTGTTTTGTAATTTATTTATAATAGGAATATGTTTGTGTTAAGTTACTCCTTTGTTTCTGTTTGTCTTTTGTTTTCTTTTGTGTGTAGCATGCTTAGTCTGTATTTATAGCTGGCATTATAATGCATTTGTTAATGCAAATGGTTTTGTGACACCAAATCTATCAATATAACAAAGTGGATATTATTAATTGAATATGGTATCTTTGTGGAGTATAACAGTTGAATCTGATATTTGAGAATATTCAGAGAGATGTTGTGCACTTTTATTATTTTATTTGTTAAAGAGATGGTGTCACTCACCTTTGTTTTTACAGGTCCAGAAGATTACTAGTAATATTCAGTTTATCTTGGAAATAGTCATCCTAAACGTTGTGGAAGTCTTGCCTTGCATCTGGAACAATAATCAGCATGGGACATCTGTATATTTTATTTTCTTCAGTTTTGAGACAATGGTAACAGAAATGTGCCAATTAAAAGCCTCTCCCATCTCCGTATTTCTCTCCCAAAACTTGTTTAAGACTGTATGCGCATTAAGCCTTGTTAAACCAGGAATCAGTTGAGTTAGCATTGTGTTGGATTTTTTTAAAAAAAAAATCTTGTGCAACTATTTTGTTACAAATGTAGCCTAGTAATTTGTAACGACTCATCAAGTACTTGCTCTTGTGTGATTTATTGGTTGATTGATATGATCTAACTGAATTAGAAGTCTGCCGTATATTAGAAGTCTGCCATGCAGCAGTATTCTTGCTGCTTTGCTGATAAATCAACAACGAAGGAAGAGTAGCTTTATCTCAAAGAGAATTTCTATGGGAGAGTATCTTTGAGATTTTTAGCGCTGTAGTTTATAATTTTAGTTGATTCTAGCTACGGCAAAGCTTGAGATCAGCACTGAAGATATTTCTTACATAGAGTTCAAATGTGAAGTTGAATATCTTGTTGTGGCCTAGCCTAGTATCTTTCTTGTATCTATTATATACTCTGCTTTTAATCTAGAATTTGTATGGAACTTATCAAAGAACGTTATGCATTTGTTGATAGTTGTCTCTTGATTTTTCCAGAGGGTGCCTCTGAACTTTCTGACGTAGAGTCCTCAATTTTGTCATAGATCAGAGAAATAATGAAAGAGTTACAAGATTGCAACTCAAAAAGCCTGGTTGCCCTTCTGGGCTCTTTGGTTCTGCATCTCTGTCGGCTATTTGGCCAGCAGGATCAGAGTTGATGGCAGAAGTACATACTAGCTTACTTTCTGTTGGTCAGGAATGACTACTTAGATTTCTTTCTTCCATATGCTACAGATTTGGATAGTGAAGAACTGAAGGACCTATTCCGAAGGCTCAATCGGGAGGTGATTCAAGTGGTAACAGATCAAATGATCGCTACTTCCCAGGCCTTCATTATGACCTATCTCAAGACTATCTTTCTTGCATAACAAATATGTGTGGTGTGCCTGCAAAGTATATAGAGATTGGCCAAAAAAATTGTGATTTTCTCTCTGCGTGTGTGAGATTATGCTATCTATGTGATGATCTTATCTCACGTAATGTATGCTGGATCGTCTCCTTATTCACAGTGAGGAACTAGGACAATGCCCTGTTGTTGGATCAAGCACAAGTGCTGATGCTGAAGGCCATCCTGTTGCCCTCTCATGACCACAAATTCCATGGATCTAACACATACAAGTAGATTGGATTCAAATGATGAGTGTGCTAACCATGTCTGTCGAGGTGAGTGCTTCTTTTTCTCCTTCGATCTGTTGCTTCTTGCCCCTCAGGAGACGAGAGCAGAGGTTTTCCCAAGGACAACTAATCTGTGTATTTTCTTCTCAGACAGAATACAACAACAGAGTACAACTACAGCAGAATACAAGTACAAGTATAAGTATAACTACAAGTAGATTCATGTGTTGTTTTCTTGTAAAACACATGGTTTGTCTCTCAGCATAGAATTTGTGTGCTACTGAGGGAAAAACACACGTTTTTTCCTTTGTAAGGTGGGACTTGCTTGTTAGCTAGGCTGCCCAAATTTGGGTGCTAGGTTGCAAAAAAACACACGAATTTTTTGTGGGAGAAATCTATGTGTTTTCTTCCCTGAAAACACTTGTGTGTTGGTTGGCTTCAAAACACATGGGTATCATGTAGACAGGCTCATTGTAAATTTGTAACAAGTGCTTTTGGACGTGTGAACTGTCGTACGGGGGTCTCACTCTGCACTAAAATCTCTACTGTCTCGGCCCACCACGTTGGTTAGTGTTAGCTCACCCAGATGAAAGGTGCCTGATTACATTATCGCTGTATGTCGCGTGGCGATAATTGCCCTGTTCGTTTGGCTGATAAGTCATGGCTAAATGTACTGTTGGTTGATTTATTGTGAAAGAAAAATATTGTTTGTTAGTTGAAAAAGTACGGCTTATAAGTCAAACGAACAGGCTGAATATGTCCCGCTTCTGTACCGTGTGATCGCGACAGAACGTTCATCGGTTCAAGGACGTCCATGCCGCCATGTGCTGAGGAAGAAAAAGATCTCCTGAGACTGTCTCCAACGATGAGAGCGCAAACATGAGACCTATTCCGGTTTTGAGTCACCTACAGGAAAAAAAAGTCACGGACCCAAATCCCTCGTTCTCCAACAACGAACCCAAAACAAGACTCACGGTTTCCTCCGTCCGTTCGGTGCTGCTTGCTCCTCCGTCTTCGTCTTCCCCGCGGCCGGCCACAGAGCTGCGAGCTCCGGCGCTGAGGAAAGGCCGACACATGGAGTGGACAGAGGTAAGAAACGCCGCGGGCTTAAGCAGAAGAGGAGGGAAGAGGGAGCAGAGAAGGTACAGCGGCGGCCGGACGCGCAGAGCAGTTAGTAGCGCACCGACGGCCGGCGCGCGACGCCGCAGGTCCGCCACGGCGGCCGGCCGACCAACGGCGACGGCAAGGCACGCACAGAAGGCGGCAGCACGGGAGAGACGCAGCAGCAGAGCGGGCGGGAGACGAAGAAGAAAGCGAAGCAAGCGCGAGAGGACAAGGGGGCGGAGAGCGGACGGACCGCAAGAGGCGCCGCCGCCGATTTCGCCGCCGCGTTGGGACGGAGCGAGCGACGAAGAGGATGGGGAATGGTGCGTTCTTTTTTCTTTTCTTTGTTTGGCCGACGAACGACAGATGAGATTTGCGTCGTCTATGTGTCGAGATGTTTATTTGCGTTTCGGATCGGCTTCGACGCAAAATGCGTCGTCAGTTTGGGTCATCCGTTGAAACGTATTTTCGGTAAAAAAAAACACTGTAAACTACCTATTATGTATTTGGGTTGCGTCGTTGGAGATAGTCTGAAGGAAGAAGTGCAGTGGATCCTTCTCATTTACTTGCGCGCGCGAGCACAACCACCAAAAACTGTCTAACCCTGTTCAGTGAGGCCCACATTCTTCAGCCACAGAGCCACTCAAGTACGTATCCTTACCACAGTGTGATTGGAGCCCCGGACGCGGCATCGGATCCCATCACGAACGCAGCCGCGGCGGCCAAAAGTTGGCGAGAGGCAGGCCATGGTGGTGGTTTGGTTGGTTCACGTCGCGGAAGAAAGCGCCGATCGAGCCGCCGCTGTCCCGGGACCGGATTGCCCTTGTTGCCGATATACGCGTGGACCCATCGCGTTTCCGGCGTCGAGTACAGGCACCAAACGTCCAAACAACAGATTGGCCCATACCCACACAGGCACACACCAAGGCGGCGAAACGGGACGCCTCAGACACGTGACCCCGGCCCTCGCGGCTCGCGCGGTAGATGCTGTGCTGATCCATCGCACGGACCAGTAGTCTCGTGCTGGACACTTGGACGTGGACCCCCTGCATGGCAGTGGCACTGGCACTGTGCCAGTGGCAGGTTTTAGCCACTGAGTTTCCTTCCTGTTGACTACAGAGCTACTGCTACGTGCCTGTAATAAAGTTGCGTGGGGGCGAAGGCGTCCGTTCTCGGCGTGCGTGAACTCGCCGCGCGCTTGCCGGGAACCTAGCTAGCTACAGCGGAGGACCTCACGTTCGCGTTCCTCGGACGTGGGCTCGGCAGCGAACCGAGTGGCCGTGTCGTCCTTCGTTCCTCGCCCGGACGCGGCACTGTTCCGGCTGGCTCTCAAGCCACATGCGCGCACCACCACCGCCGGCCCCACGGCGCAGCACGCCGCGTCCCTGCCGTTTCTTTTCGTCGCGGATGCGGAGTAAAACAAACCGCGCAGCCCAGCCAGCCAGCCAACCACAACAGAGGCACAGACGGGGCAGGCACACCGGCACAGGCCACACAGCAGAGCAGCGCGAGCCGGCCTAGTAGGAGGAGAAAACCCCACACGCGCAAGCACTGGCTGGGTAGCCGCTCGCGCTTCGCCGCTAGCTGCTGCCGGTGCCGCGCCTCACTGCTTCGCTTCTCCTCCCTCCCTCGCCACCTCCTCCTCGTGTCGAGCTACCCCGCGGCCGGCCGATACCGACCCAGAGCTCGGACGCGCCGAGGCGAGGCCACCGCCGCAAGCATTCGCCTGTGTGTGCTGTGTTCAGCTAGCAGTGCGGGCCGAGATGTTCGCGAGCAGGCCGGTGGTGCACCCGCTGGAGGTGGCGGCGCCCGCGGATCCGGTGCAGCCGGCGCCGGGCGTGCTGATGAAGGACCTGCCCGGGATGCCGGGGACGCCCGGCGGCCTCGGCCTCCGCGTCCTGCAGCTCCTCTTCGCAGCCATCTCGCTCGCCGCCATGTCCTCCACCGTCGACTTCGCCAGCGTCTCCGCCTTCAGGTACGCCAGCTCTCATCTTCATTCCCCGTCTCTCTTCCGTTCGACTTAGCTTCCTTCTCCATTCGCCTGCCTAGGATTTCGGAATTGCATTGTGGTTTGGTGGTGTATACAAGCAGTGGAATGGTTCGATCCGTGATGCTCAGCTCAGCTTAGCTAGCTAAGCTTAGTGGGGGTATTCACACTCCAAGTTTCAGCTGGTTGGGTAGGTTGAGCCGTGAGCGGGGAACTTGCTGTTAAAGCTCCCAAGACTTCATGTCTTGGATTTTTGCTTGATTCGGCAATGGGGTGTGAAACCGAACTCCTTTTCTTGCACGACGCGTGGGCAGTTCTAACTGTGTCAATCCCCTGAGCCACCAAAACGCATCTTTCTCCGGGTTTCTTTCACATCGGCAAGTATTTTCACTAGAGTCTGATTTGTCTCAGTGAATTTGGGTCAAGTCTCTGAATGCTAGTACCAACGTTTGCAAATCCTTTTGTTGCACCTAATTTCGTGTCATTTGCTTGGGTCCTGTGGTTGCTACTCTCTGCCTGATGGCATGTCTGGATTCCCTCCGCCCGGGCAAGGATGTGAGGCGTCTGATTTTGAGCGCCTGGGATCAAGGTCCTTGTCTGGCAGGCATTGATCCAAACATCCCTATATGACCCTCTGTTTTTTTTCCCCTTTCAAGAAACCGTGCTTCAGCGGGCACATATCCAAGAAAATAAGAGTAAGAAAGGCAAGCCTTATGTGGACTAAAGACAGTTTACTTGGAGTGTCCTCTGGAAAAAGTTGGCACGCTAGCAACTGTCCACTGGACTCCAGGGCTAAAATGGATATTGTTTTGGTGAATAAACTTCTGGAGTTGAATTCATATTGGTACATAAGGAATGTGGACAAGCGGATCTATAGCTCTGTTCAATACTGTTTTAGTGCAAAAATATCATGCTGTGCATTTTTTCCTAAACATACGGAAAGGGTTTAATTCACTAACAATTTTGTGATTTTGTCAGTATCCAGATCCATACCCTAGGATCTTTTGATAGTATGATCCTATCAAGTCAAAATAATACCTATTCTACCATGTATCCTAAATTTTATAGTATCTCGATCCTACATGAAGGTATCTAACATAAAATTTCATAGTATCCCAATACTACGATCCTATATAATAATTGACATAAATCACTTGATTTAGTTATGACAAAATACTATTTAAAGTTAAGGACCATTGAAGATAATGTCAAGAGTTTCACTTAAATATACAATAAGTATATTAAATTAATCAAAATCATTATTATAGAGTTAACTCTTTACAACATATTACAAATCTTATATAAAATATATAATTTGTAAAATTTGATAGGATCCCAATACTATGATCCGATCTGATAGTGTCAAGCAAAAAAATGATGCTATGTAGGATCCCGATCCTAACAACCCTGTCCACTAAGTAACACCCATCCATTCTCTCAACCATTTTTCTAATCTGGTACCTGCTTAGGATTGAGATGTGACAAGCCTGTTTTGGGTCTAGATTGACACGGTTACAAATTGACTGTAACTGCTGAGTTGAATTACGATGAGCTGGGGCTGGACAGAAAAAAGGGGCTGTATTAATAAGTAGCCTTGTCATTACACATTCGTTATCTTAAAAAACATGGTATGAAACATTCTCCACTGTACATTTTTGGGTAAATGTTAAGCCATGGCATTATAACCATGGTATCACAGGGATCCCAATCATATCCTTTCTTTTTAGCGAGCAGCGCCACTATGTTTGTATAAGTCCCAAGCTAGCCAAGCCAAATTTTGGCTACTCTTACTAATCTTAGCCACCATTTGGTTGGATGCTAAAATTTGGCCTGGCAGCCTACTTCTTTGGCCACCTTACTTCATTTTGGTGGCCAAAGTTAGCAAAATACAAGGCCACCAATTTGGTGGCCAAATTTGGCTTGTTGGTGCAAACTAAACACACCATAAACCCGCAGCCCCTTCTTTCTTTTTTGCCAGGATAAATAGCCTTTTTCATATGATAAGCATGGATTATCATGGCACTCCATTACCTGACAAAATGATTCCTTGTACAAATGTGGTATTTCATTATAAAACTATGCTCAATGGATACCCAACGTTTCGGGTGGACTATGCAGTTAATTTCTGAAGAATTATCATAAAAAGTTATCTTTCTAATCACTGCTCCATTGTGGAACATTGATAGTTACTACAAGTATAGCGTGGCTCCTGAATCCTAAGAGGAAGGCAAATTTTTGTTTGTCTGGAAATAAATACCTTCCTATCTTAGTTTAGCTAATATTTCTTCTTGGGCATGTATGTATCTCCTGTTCACTACTTATTTGCTGATTATGGGCTGTAAATAACTAGAAATTGATTTTTTTGCATGGTGCAATTTTGTTATGTATTCATTTATTTTTTATTTTATTTTAATGTGATTGTGATTGTGATTTGTAATAGATGTGGTTGGTACTTTTGCTAACTCAGAAAACAGGGACGGTGTTGATCTCTTGGGTCAAAATGACAATTTTACTGTGTTATCCATTTTTGTGGTTGTCGCAGCAAATTCATGTCTTCGGTATGCTGCATTCTGGCATCCTCAACTTCAAGCCTTTCCAACCTCATTAATTTGGTTTAGTTTTGTGTATAGCAAACTGATGATTTGCTCCTTTTGCCAGCTACCTCATTGCAACAACCATCTTGCAATGTGTGTGGAGCCTTACGGTAGCCATTGTGGACATATATGCACTACTTGTTAAGCGTTGTTTACGAAATCGTCGGGCTGTTGCTCTTTTTGCCATTGGAGATGGGGTACGTAAAACATTGTACTTGTTCTTCATGATGCTTATAAAAATCATTAAGTCAATCTTCCATAATATTTGTAACATTTACAGATAAGTTCTGTTGAACAATTTCTCAACTCTCCTCTGTCGTGAACTAACCACAACATACAAAAAGTACCATATAACTGGGATTAATCTGACACTCTTTTGACAATATAGTGATTTTCTGATGTGGAATATTAATTGTGTAGCGCAAAGAAACCCAAATAAGTTGTCAGATCATAAAGTCGAATGAAATTGCCTCTCATGAATCATAGATTTGCTTAGGGGAGCTAGGATCGCATCTATCTTCTGATTCAGTGTATTCTTGTTTGACGGCAGATCACATGGGCAGGGTCCTTCTCCGGAGCATGCATGGCGGCAGGAGTCACCGTCCTGATCGACACAGATCTGAACATGTGCTACGAGAACCATTGTGCTAATTTTCAGACTGCAGTAGCAATGGAGTTCATGTGCTGTTTTTCTCTCTTACCATCCTTTCTCCTGAACCTTTATTCGATCGCATCTAGTCGCGGCTAGCTGAAAAGAAACAGGAGGATAGAGCCTGATCTTGGAGCAGTTTGAGCATCCAATTGCGGTTTTAGTGACAACTGGATATAGTGGCACAGCTAATAGTATTAGAATTGGAAGGTGAAGTAAGTCTATGACAGTGTCGACATGACATAATATTGTCGGCAGTCCTCCGAGGGGTATCCTATGAAGGTAGGTTGATTAGCAGAGGTGCGCGTAATCAAGAACAAGAAGGCAACAGAGATACAAGAGTTAGACAAGTTCGGGCCGTCTACACGACATAATACCCTACTCCTGTGGTCTGTTGGTTTGTATTGGCTATCGTATGATATTGTGTGTGTTTTGAGGGGTCCCCTACCCGCCTTATATAGCCGGGGATAGGGTTACAAGTCGATTAGATCTAGGAGATAACCGGTAAGTAATAACAGATTACAGGAATGACGGGATCGAGCATATTCTAACAGATCTCGTAGCATCTTCAGGATATCGCCCTTGATGTTTTGCTGTACACGTCGAGCAGCACCGTGTATCGTAGGTCTTCGTCTTGTGGGCTGGACCGCCCCTGGCAGCGCAGTCCATGTAGTCTGTCGTGGGTATCTGGGGTCGTACCCCCCGCAACAGTCCTTGAGCGCTTTGTATCCGCTGTGCAACGCCATCTTGAGCTTATCCGAGCAATTGTAAACAAAGCCGAGCAATCAGACTCATAGTCCGACCACCCTAATGAGTCGTCGAGCAGTTGAGGACCGTAACCGACCAGCTTAACTGCCCGGCCGAACCTGGGTTTACCCAAGTAAGGCTTGCCAGAAGGATGTAAGGAGCTTAAGTTCAAAATAAAAAATTTCCTCGTTGTGAACCAAGTGTGCCCACTTAGAGCCCGACCACGAGAAAGGGAGATAATCTTTTTCAACTTCAGGAATCTTTCAATGAACAGATTAAAGAAAACACACTCACCGCAAGGTGAAGTGTGCCCACTTAGTCTCCGAGCTTGACAGTAGGGGACGTGGTCACATGGTGCCAGGGTCCAGAAAGTAGAAGAAAAACAGAAAACCAGTCGAACGGACAACCAGTCCACGGGCTGAACCCTGAAATGAAAAGCTCACATTCACCGTAAGGTGAAGTGTGCCCACTTAGTCCCCGAGCCTGACAATAGGTGACGTGGTCACATGGTGCCAGGGTCAAAAACAACAGTAACCAGAAAAAAGTCCCTAGTATGGTGAGAAACCGAATCATAATGATGACGTAGTCCCCGAGCCACAAGTAGAAATCTCGAATAAATCAAGAAGTGCCGATTACTCAAATCATGGAGAAAAAACCGGAGTAATGACTGTATAGTAAAAATTACTAAGCCTTAATGGTATTGCGGAGAGGTCGACAAATATTCGGTGTGCAGTACTGAGTTGCGTCGAAAAATGGGCGATATGGGCCGTAGTTGCACGGAAGCCCAGATAACGGCCCAGCACGCCGCTTTGGGGAATTCGGAAGGACGCAAATCAGCATGGTGTGATTTCCCAAAAACCCTTGAATGCGAAAAGTCGGGAGGGTGTCTTTATAACTGCGTCGCCGCACTCCGCGCTCCCACCTTTGCCACTCCGTCACTTCGTCTTGTTCCTCGCCCTCACACTCCCCCATTCGCATTCACACGCACTCCGCCGCTAAGGCTAAAAAGCTTGCGTAAAGGGACCGGTTTTGATCCGGATCTGAGGG